GAAATCCGAATTGGAGCGGATCGGATCGGATTTCGGATATCCGATCCAAATGCACAGCCCTAACCTCGACCTCTTCTCAAACCCGCTATGGTCAACCTCTTACACCTCCTAACAGGAGCGTCAACGCTTCTCTTAATGTGCCCGAACCATCTAAACCTCAACTCCCGCATCTTGTCCTCCACGGATGTCACTCCCACTTTGTCCCGAATAACTTCATTCCTAATTTTATCGCTCCTGGTACACCAACACATTCATCTCAGCATCCTCATTTCTGTTACTTTCATCTTATGCACATGGGAGCTCTTGACTGGCCAACACTCCGTCCCATACAGCAGGGTTGGTCAGACCATCACTCTATAAAATTTACCCTTAAGTTTTGGCGGCACCTTCTTATTACATAGAACACCGGATGCAAGCCTCCACTTCATCCATCCCGCTCCAATACGATATGTGACATCCTCGTCAATCTCCCTACTACCTTGTATAATAGATCTGAGACACTTGAAACTACTCCTCTTGGGGATGATTTGAGTATCGAGCTGCACATCCACGCCTGTTTCAAGGGCCCCGTCACTGAATTTGCACTCCAAGTACTTTATTTTGGTCCAAGTCAACTTGAACCTTTAGACTCCAAGGTCTGTATCCAAACCTCCAACCTTGTGTTACCCCTACCTCGTGTCTCGTCGATCAACACTATATCATCTGCAAATAACATGCACCATGGCACCTCTCCTTGGATGTGTCGCGTCAGCACGTTCATCGCCAGGGCAAATAAGAACGGGCTAAGAGTCGATCCTTGGTGCAACCCTATCACAGCTGGAAAGTGTTTTGAGTCTCCTCCCACAGTCCTCATCGAGTCTTAGCACCATCGTACATATCTTTAATCATCCTAGTGTACGCTTCATAAGAACAAATGAACTTTGATAAATTTATCCAAGACTTGTTTGTTATGTACTAACAAGAAAAAAAAGAAGAGATTCATCCCAAACTCTTTTGCAAAGTATATCACGTCGCCTGGCATCTTAAGAACAGAGATTAAGATATCATTTTGCCAGCACAACAGTGGCCATGAATAGTTCATGAATTATGGTTGGGTTTCTTATGCCAAGATTTGAAGTCACTGATGGTAGTATGTTAATTAACATGTTGTTGTAACATACATTATTGTAACTTGAGCATCAAGTAGAGAAGTGTTTGATTACTGGAGTCAAAGCAAAACCCCAAGCCTGGAAGCATTAATTTGCAGGAGTTCACTTGTTTCATAGGTTTAGATTTTTCCTTTGGAACACAACAACCTATGAGGAAATCTTTAGGTTGTAGTTTACATTTGGTGGATTAAACTTAAAAAATCCCTTTAGCACAATGTTAGTCTTGAAATCTTATTGTTATTTCTCCAGGTATTGTGTGAATGCAACGAGAAGACCGTTGACGAATAATGAAACAATTTATATATTGACATTTCGTGCTTATTTTCAAATTTCTACTTTGATATTACCATCCGGTAACTACAGGATGATCCACAAGAAAGGTGGCAGGATTCAAACCTATTGCCAGCCTGCCCCTGACGTGAATTACCCTTTCCAGTGACTATTAGTAAGAGCAACCAACAATGAGCATATAGGTTTGCTACAATGATGTACAAACAATTATTTGATAATGCTTCTTGAGGAATTTATTCATAAAATAATTCACTAGCTTCACTTGTCACATTGACTGGGATAAATAACATCCTTAATATCAACACTATTTTAAGCTGCGGTGGTCTCACCCTTAACAAAAAGATGCGAGCCAAGTCGACCATTTTCCCCATCAAGCTCACCTCACATCTATTGGACTAAAAACGTTCCTTTGACAGTGGGTTCATAATATGTTAATTACAAATGAAGTGAAAGCGAACTCAAGTCCCAGATAAATATCATAGCTAAAAACAAACATAAATCCAGCACACACAAAAACACTAGGTGATTTCTTCTTATCTACCTAAACTTTGGTGGGTAAAGTTACTCGGTGCCTGTGCTGGTGGAGATAGCAATTATCTAATGGAATAGTTGAGATGGGCACAAGCTGGCCCGGATAACACCGTTATCAAAACAAAAAAAAAACATAAAGCCGACTATTCTAGCATAATTAGCTTTTCATTTATCTCTGCACCTCACCTGACAGTTATTTCTAAAAACTTCATAGAGCGACTTTTAGAATAATTCACCACCATGATGATCCTAACACATATGAAGGATGCTAGGGTTATCCCTGACACAAATGCTATTATCCAATAAACGTTTTCGGCACTTATCCCTAAGGTTTACAGTAAGCTTCTTCTTTGGTTAAAAAGGAAATTATATTGGAAGACTAACGGCGAAGAATATATGGTTAAGGCCAAGATGTTCTTCACAAGCAAGCTAGAAACAGCACATTGGAGTGCAGTGCAGACTCTCCAAAATATTGCCGCACCCGTGACGGGTCTTCCATAAATGCATTGCTTTTGGAGGATCCGACACGCACCCGGCAACATTTTCAGAGAGTCTGAGCAATATAGGTTACTCTGTATGATCATTGAGCTCAAAGCATAAGGGTGAAATTAGATCAAGTTTAGTTAAGGTTTGAACAAGGCATTTTTATGGAAAATGCAGACTCAAACGAAATGATAAAAGGCTCAGAAACTTGCTTTCTAATCAGGCCTGCTAACTTCATATGTTAAACTATCGAGAAATGAGCAATGACAATAGCAGCCGCACGACATCCTTACTTAAAGAGTTGCATTTGGATTAAACTAGTATGAACATGAAAGAGGAAATTATAATAGCACGAAAGAGTTGCCTACTTTGTCACTTTATCATTTTCATTTTTGGCACCACAGAGTGCCACGGCCACAGAAGAGTTAAGTACCAATTTGATGTATAGACAGTTGCAAGACAAATATTTAAACATGTGAAAGAGACGATGGCTTACCTTTTCCAATTCCCTGACACCTTCAGCATACTGTTCCTTTTGTAGCAATGCAAGACCAAGGTAATAATGGGCCTGTACTCCCAGAATTCACTCTTTAGGTCATTATCTGTAGGGAATAAAGAATTTCTAGCTACACCAACTTAGAAAGACCATAAATTCAGCAGATAAGAAACAGAGGTGTTCTAAAATTATTCAGCTCAGTTCTATCTGTGATTATGTAGATGCTCTAATAAGATATATTATCCTCCTAAACGTTGCAACAACCTTTGAAACAGTAACAAATTAACAATCTCCAGAATTTACATCATTAAAACCTCCAGATTATCTATGCATTACACTATGCGAACAGCAAGATTACAATAATACCATATTTGAGTTGTTTCCACAGTGATCCTATTAAGGTAACTGCTGTCTCAGCATATGACTTCTCCGGTAGAACAATAAGGATTTCACTTCAATTTCTTTCTTCATACTTAATTGTTATGACCATAAAGATTATTAATATCCATGAGAAGAAAAGCTAAATTTAGTTAAACACCGAAACACGCCTAGTCCGTCCAAAGAACAAAGGAAATAAGAAAATATCAACATTGATAGAACACATATATAGTTATATGAATTCCCCACATTGGAAAAAATGTTAATTTATGCTAAATGTTACAAAGTTAGCACCTTTACAGAATTGTGATCGAGCTGAATAGCCTTTCTACAATCCTCCTCCACTCTTTGCCAGTCACTATAAACCAACAACGACAATAATAAATGAACATATACAATAACATCATCAAAATGCCCAAAAGAAATTCTTTTTGTGACACGTACTTTCGCTTCCGATGGCACAAGGCACGATTAGTCCAATATATTGGAACATTAGGGCACAATGTAATAGCCTACAAAGTAAAACATACAGTAGCATCAGATATGTTAGAAGAGTAAGAGTAATATTTTCATTTAACCTAATAGTAAAAAAGACCTCAGTATAAGCATCTATGGCAGCCCCAAATCGATTCTTTTGAAAGTAACTGTTGCCATCTTGCTTCAGTTGCTCCGCTTGCTTTGAACCCACGATTGCTGACATTTTTTCACTCTTTTTTTTCTGCGATCTTAAAATCACCTCGATTTCCAGCAATCTCTATACCCCCCAACGCCGTTTCTATTTCTCCGTCCAAATTATATACCGGCTATAGATACACGTATATACAGAAGATGTGAAACAGGAATATTTCTGGGGTGGAGTAGAGAAAGAGATAAAGGGCTGGAAAATTAAATTGAAATTGAAATATGGGAAGAAATTGAGCGGCAAGAGGGAGAGGAGTCGTCGCGAAATTTCAAGAGCATAGCATAGCAAATGTGCAGAAAGGAGAAAACAGCGATTGCGTCACATATATGATGGTGCGCCAAGATGTCACAATTCAACGTGATTGGGCAGGCTAACCAGCTTTTCTATTCGTCAATTAAGAGGATAATTAAAGAACAGCCATTTATCTTTTGGAGCAATTTAAAGTTATTACACGGTACTTATAGGTCACGGTCTGGCCTTCATTTGATTCTACGTAAATGAGCAATGCTTTATGCATCGACGTACCTTTTTTGTTTTGAAATTAAGTACATCACATAAAAAGATATGACCTACCTATGGAAATTTATTAAAACAATTTAAAATACTAAAAGGGATGAACCCGCTTAAAAGAGTAATAAAGCATAGTCCTGTGGTCAAGCGAGGTCCAAGACAAAAGTTTTATGAGTTCTAGATGCGGAATATGCAAAATTATTATTCACTTATGTTTTCTGAAGTCACGAACCAAAAAAAAAAAGTAACAATAAAATATAACTAAATCTCTATTAATGATAAGATTTAAAAGGGAAAAAAGCTAAAATTTGTCTGTGACTTTTTTTCTTTTAATATATTATATGAATTTCTAATTTAATAGCACATGATATTTGATATTTTGTAGGCAAAAAAGAATTAAGCTAATTTTGAACTTAAAAGTCTTCTTTTAATCTCTTTCACTTTGATTTAAGTTATACTAACAATTAACCGTGAATAGGGTCGACGTTCGGGCAGTTCAGATTGGATATGAGAATTTCGGTTTGGATTTTCAAGTTTTGGATTGAAGTAATGACAATCCAAATCCAATCCAAATAAGTTCGGATTGGATCGAATTTTTTAAGTTCGGTTTCAGATTAATCGGTTTGGATATTATGGATTTTCGGTTTTGAGTGTATAAGTTGAGATGTTTCTACTTTTTACAAAAATGAATATCCAAATGAAGTACTCATGTTAAATTGCCCGAAAAGTTCCTCATTCTTATCGCAATCATCCAAATAAAGTATTCAAGTAATGAAATTATTATTAAAAAAATTCAACAGAAACATTAATACGGCCGATAGGAAATAATAATAGTAAAATCATGTCCAATTAAAAAGTATTCTGACAATAACTTAGTAATTAATACTAAATATATGAGATAATATCTAATAGGTAGAGTGTTGAACTTATTACCATTGACATATGAATAATGGACTAAATATAAAGTATAAGAATTTCGGATTTTTGGATACCCAAAAATCCAAAAGTACCAAATCTAATATCCAATCCATAATCCAAAATTTTTTAAAATTAAATCCAATATACAATCCATAATAAAAAAAATCTTAAAAATTTGGATTTCGGATTTGCCCAAACTATGCCCATCCGTAACCGTGAAAGTCTTTCACATAATAATTGTGGTTTTAGTTCAAATTATCTCATTTTCGAACACCACATATTTATATTAGTCAATCGATTTCCTTTTCATATAATATAAATTCACTATAAAAATTACATAATCAAATCATTGATAAGATAATTACAAATAACTTTTACAATTAACATTATTTGATAATTTGATAAACATAGTAACTTAAACCTATTATTACAAGTTGTACTAATAGCAAATCTTGACATTATCACAATAAAATAAATTAAACGATTCTCTTCCCCTACATAAACCCAAAATACACCATTCTCGCAACTAACCATACCATCAATTTACTACTACAAAGAAAATGGCCTCTGTTCTCCATTTCCTAATCATCTTCTTTATCTCATTTCTTCTAATTTCCCCTACAATATCACTCAAATGCTCGTCTCAAATCTTTTCTAATAACACCCACTTCGCCAACTGCATTGATCTCACTTTTCTCAAATCTTCTCTTCACTGGACTTATAATTCCAAAAATTCTACACTTTCAATTGCTTTTATTGCTCCTTTGCCATCTAACAATGGTTGGGTTGCTTGGGGTATTAACCCCACCACCCCATCAATGATTGGAACTCATTCTCTCATTGCATTTAAAGAATCCAATGGCTCCATTGTTGTTAAAACCTACAATCTTACTTCCTACAAAACCATTGTAGAGTCTAAGAAACTTTTGTTTACTGTGTTGGATTCTAAAGCTGAGTCCTCTAATGGGGTTTTGAAAATCTTGGCCACTTTGGTACTGCCGGCAAACTTGACTTCGGTAATGTTAAGTGTTTGTCGTGATATTTTTACCATATTTGTATTATTTATTTTTTGGGTAGAAAAGTATAAATCTTTCGGTTTTGTGTTTCTGATCCTTATCCTTTTCTAGGAGAAAAATATTTGAGAAATATATATATTTTTAGTCGCTCTAAAAAATAATAGCTAACAAAATGTATAATTTTATATATGTGTATATTATATGCAAACAATATAGATATTTTATATGTTTTTTGGCTTCGAATACAATTAGTTTCGATTGACATACCAATTTTGTATTTTGCCAAAATATTTTGGATTAAGACTTTTTTGTTTCACTCGATAGCATCAACAATGTTTTAACTCTTTTTGAGAGTTTTGTTTTAGGGAGAAAATTGTTGAGTAACAAATGTTAGCATGACACTTTAGTGAATTATTTTGAGAGTGAGGTTATTGCTTCAAATTCTTTTATATTTTTTTTATATTGTGGATTGTACATCTCGATTCTCGACCATAAAAGTAGATCTATTATTCGAAACCAACTTCGATACTTTTTTTTTGTCCACTTTGGTATATGTTTTTTTTATTTACACATTTACTCTCGTTTAAGATTTGTTATTTTTATATGACACCAGATTATTTTGATCCTGACAGGTGAACCAGGTCTGGCAAATTGGTCCAGCAGTGAAAGATGGCATACCAGTGGTACATAAGTTTGATGCAGACAATTTAAATTCTAAAGGCATTTTGGATTTGGCTACTTCTTCTGGTGATAGAAAAAAGAATGCCACTGCCTCTACTCCTGCTCCTGCCCCTGCTAATAATACTGGTGGACAGAATGGAAAAGAAACTGGTGGATCTTCAAAAATTTGGGAGAGTGATTTTAGTTTCTATGTTTTCTTATTGTTTCTTGGAGTTTGGTTATTGTAATCTTAGATTGACTAAATTTTCTGATTTTGTCAATGCAATAACACGATTCTGGAGGTCAAAGATTAGTGTAAACGGTTAGTAGGTAGTCGAGTTTCGGACACATTCTCGTATTATCTTATGCTTCGATTTTTATTACTACCTATCGTCAGTGGCGGAGGCAGGATCTCCACGAAAGGGGTTCAAAAAAATATTTTTGTAGCTAGTGGGAATTGAACCCATGACCTTATGTAGATTTTTAACCCCCCTTGACTACTAAACTACACTTTTGGATTGTGTTAAGGGTGTTCAAAACTTAATATATAGAGATAAAAAACAGATTTTGCCTTATATATACAGTGTAATTTTTCGGCGAAGGGTGTTCGGATGAACACCCTTGCGCCCCCCTAAATCCGCCCCTGCTTGTCGTTACCCTTGCTTCGGTTGTCTTATTGCTTTGTTATTTTGATGTTGTTACTGTTCTTGTTTTCATTAGTCTCGACATGGCTTCTTCACTAATGTTTTTCTTTTCAAAACTGTTAAGAAATATTTTTTTTGAGTCGAGAGTCTTCCGAAAATAACATCTTTATCTTCATAAAGGTAAGGGTAAAATCTACGTATACAATACCCAAATGTCATGTTGGTTCATTTGTTATGAATTTTACTGTTCTTTGTTCTTTTTTTCTTACGCTTAGTAATTACTTAAAAGTCATTCATTAATTGATGTCCAAGGTGTCAATATATAAAATAAAAAAAAGGCAAAATACATAAGTATCCATCTAACTTATGGCCCAAATCCCCCTTACACACTTTCTATGGACGATAATAATATTACACATGCAACCTTTTTAAAGTGTAGCTAGTACACACCACTTTTTTCTTGACCAACTTTTCAAAATATGTGTGAGGTCACGCGCCAATAAGGTCGTGACACGTGTCCTAACTCAAGAAAAAAAAAAGAAAATACTAAATTTACACCAATTGATAATATTTAAAAGAAAACAAANCTTTTTAGTTTCTAGATTTTGTTTGTTTTGTTTGCTGTGGAATCACCATTGTTACCGATGAGTTTGCCACTGTAACAGTGGTCGGAAATGGAGGTCGCTGTTGTTTGCCTTTTTTTAACTAAACGAGACCAGTTTTGAACGAAGAACACTAGCTTGCCGAAAGATCTGATAGCTCCACCCACGCGGAGAAGATCTGAGCTCATCGATCATGAACTGACAGTGAGACTAATGACCTGACAATGGAGTTCTCGGCTTGTTGCTTGAGGTCGTTGCCGGTATTACGAGTTATGGCTGACATCTTCTTAAAGGAGATGCAAGAGGGCGGAGATGAGGAGGCTGCGGTTGTCGCCGGCTTCCGGGGAGGGCTCCAAATGGGGAAGAAGGGCTTGGATATCATTTTCTTTTCATTTAATTATTAAATTAACAAAAATAAGTGGACAAATAAGATTTAGACACGTGTGCTTATTGTCACACCTCCTTTTTCCGCACCCGCGGGGGCGCAGGGGAGTTTTCCAATTAAAGGACAATCGAAAGGGGATTTATTTGTTTATTTCAGAGTCGCCACTTGGGAGATTTAGGGTGTCCCAAGTCACCAATTTTAATCCCGAATCGAGGAAAAGAATGACTCTATATTACAGTCTGCGTACCATAAATC